TGATTAGTTTGAAAAAAGAAACGGTACATTGTGATGCATGAAGTACATTTGGATGAAAAGACCAATCATCTTGCATTTAAGGTCTAAAACGTGATAAGGGAAAATGAAATAAAGGACAGGATAAGGGGGATGGCCTGAAGTGGGGAGAGCACTGATACCAGGTTCAATACTTCATCGGCGAGTAGGGACTGTTGTCATCTCCACTTTTTAAGGAAGAGGAAGCTGGGTCATAGAGTCCCAGTCCCATAGAACTACAAGGCCACATAGTTTCCTTGTTCTTTCTTGATGAAACTTGTGCTCAGTCCCTGATTCAAGACAGTACCTGGGCCAAAGTGCCCTGATCTTTAGCTCAGGGTGTTTCCTTCACTCACTCCTCTGGGAACTTCATTTGGTTATCTATGGGAACATCAAGGAGTTCATGGAAAAGTAGAATTTTGTTGCAAAAATTTTGAAATCCATGCATAGTTTTCATAATATGCATTGTCGTGAACTTTTTTTCATATGGCATGAACTGGGCTGATGGATGCTGATGCCTTTTGATTCAAGTGGCCTGGTGCCACGTAGTGCCACATGTGAGAGCTGGTGTGAATACCTCGTGCATGGACAGCTGCCATTGCTGTCAGAAAAGCCAACAGAAAAGCGCAGGACACAATGTACTGCAGAGACTCTGGACAAGAAACACCATCCGTCAGAACTTGGGCCATCTCCTCCGTGGCACCTGCCCTTCCTATTCCAGGAGGGATGGTGTGAAGTCTGGGAGGGTAGTTGACACAGAAGACTCCTTGGAACACTCCACACAACAGGGTCAGCCATCATTCATTAAAAGGCACAATTACCATACACTCTCAAATCGGCCACGTTCTTGTTAGTTTCCCGAAGAAAAACAACCTGGTACTGTGTCCTGGTGCTGGCCTAGCGTGCCTAGCATGTGGGTGATACCCCTGAGATCCAGCACTAACTTGGACTGTCCCCTCCCACCCACATTTCTGCCAGCCTCTATTCCCTGCCCTGCACAGCTGAGCTGTTTCACGCCCGCCCTGAGCTCAGCAGCTGTCACCAGTGAGCTGAAGCAGGATCGGGTCAGACCAATGTGTGAATATTTGACTGCTGAGAAAACACCTAAGGGTGTACTTCAATCAGCCTATCCTCACAGTTGTTTGCTTCTTTTCAAACTGAGCACCAGATCTAGTTACCACAGGAGAGAGAGCACAGATACTCCATCATATAATATAAAATTCTAATTTCATTTTCCAGTAGGCAGTACTGAATATTAATAAGTCTTTCCCACCTAATAAAGGTTCATCTCAAATGAATTGACTCCTTAAATGTATGTTTGCACACAAACACATTTGATCCCACCGAAAGGAATTTTGCTTGAGTAAGGACTGTGGAATTAGACTTTGGGGGGTCAGTTCCTTGCCCCCACGGAATGCAGTGGGAAAGTTCCCATGATCAGAGGAGGCCTCTCCCAGCACATTCCATTCGGGAAGCATCTGCGGAGGTTTCGTGCAGACAGTGCCATGTCTTCTGATGCTATCAGCATCTCTGACAGCCAAAGGCCTCTATGTCCCACGCAGGTTCCAGTCAAATTTCACAAAGCATATGTGCAGCGTAAGCAAGGGTGTGTGTGTGTGTGTGTGTGTGTGTGTGTGTGTGTGTACATACATTAGACCTCACGATGTAGGGGAAGAAATCCAAACTCATATGAACTTGAGTTTATGTTATTCCCAATTGTGAGGATGAGTACTTTGAAACTTCTTTAAGGAACTTGTTATCAATCTCATGAGGTTTAGGGAAATTTAATCACAAATCAACGAAGCCACAAATGAAGCCAAATTCATTCATTCACTCCAACACGATTTTTCAGGATGACTGTTATGTGCCAGGCCCTTTCCCAAACACTGGGGACATAGTGAACAGGAACCCGTATCCCTTTTTCTTTTTAGGTTTTTGCCATAGGGGGCATGTGTTTCCCAGAGAGAGACAGAGGGAGACAGAGAAAGGGGAAGTGAGAAATCACCTCCTGGGGGAATGGCCATACCACAATCCCTTCTCCATTTTCTTCTTGGGCACATGCACCCGCATCTTGATTTTCAAGATGCTGGGTCCGAGACTCAAACCACAGTCGGTTATGTGGGAATCCAGCACTTAACCATCATGCCACCTGCTGGCCCAGAACCCATAACTTTTCTAAGGAAGAGGGAGTCCTTGATCTGTAACATAGCAGTAGGGCCCAGACTTGGAGTATACTCATCAGTTCAGATCTGGATACCAGACTGTGCGACGTACTGGCAGCTGGAACAGCTCTGGAACATATCCTGTTTGTTGAATTACCGCACAGGAACAGGGGTTTGACTCTGAGCTTGTTGAAAGCCTCATGAAACTCTTTGGAGACAAATAAACAAAATGTAATTTATCCATTCTTTCACCCATATGATGAGCAGGGTGAATAAGATAAGTAAGACGTGGCCGCTGTCCCCAGGAAGCTCACACTCTGGTAGAAAAACAGTTGGAAGCCAACGCATGGCGGTACAGACAGGCTGGTGCAGTCAGTAAACTTTAAGTACAGTCATCCCTTGGCCTCTATGAGGGACTGGCTCTAGGATCCCCATGGATACCAAAATCTGAGGATGGTGGAGTCCTTTGCGTAAAATGGCATGTATTTGTGTATAGCCTATACACATCCTCCAGTACACCTTAAATCAGCTTTAGAATGCAAGGTCTGTTTAAGTAGTTTGTTATACTGTGTTGTTTAGGGGAAAGCCTTACATATTCCGTACAAATGCAACCATTTTTTCCCCAAATATTCTTGATTCATGGTTGGTTGAACGAGAGGTCGCTAAACCCACAGAGACAGAGGGCCTACTGTATCTGGATTTTTATTCTGATGGGAATGGAGAACAAGTGATGGAATTGGGGCTGAGGCAAGCAATGGGGTGAAGTTTCTGGTTTGGTGAGATCACTCTGGCTGCAGAGGTGAAGGAGAAGCTCCAGATTCAAGGCTGCGTAGGAAGCGAGTGACAACTGACAGAGTCTTACTTCAGTGACCTGAGGTAGAAGGGGACATGACGAGTCCATGAGCCATAGAACGGGCAGGACTTTGTGATGACTGTACAGAGGAAAAGATGTCAGTTTCCACTCCAGACTGAAAGAGACTTTGTAGCAGGGCCTGTGGCTAAGAGGAAGTGATTAATATGGAGTCATAAAGGCTGAAAGGATAAGAGAGAAGGCGGAAGTGGGGTGCCCTTGGGAGCCTAGTGGTTAAGCATGCGGAACCAGATGATCTGGGTTACATATCACAGCGCCACCATTTGCAGGCTGTGTGATTTGGGGCAAAACGTCTTATCTCCGTATTTCAGTTTCTCCATTCCAAGATGGTATAGTCTAGCTCAAAGAGTTGCCATGAGTCTTGCTTACATTAATACATGTGAGCCCTCAATAGAGTCCCCAGAACATGGGACCAGCAGTTACCATAATGGCTATGTCACTGGACTCCCACGTAGTCGACCGTGGTTCGAATCCCAGACCTGGTGGCTTAAACTCACGCCGGGCGCGTGTGTGTGCGTGCCCAAGATCCCGAGAGAAGAATGGAGGAGAAGGGATTGCGGCGTGACCATCCCCCCTGGGGGGTGATTTCTCGCTTTCTGTCTCTATGTCTCTCTGTCTGGCGAGCGCACGCACCCTATAGCAAAAACCTCTCAAAAAAAAAAAAAAAAAAAGAGTACATACACCCTCTGGCAAAAAAATAAATTAAAAAAAAAAGAAAGAAAAGAAGAAAGGAAGGAAAGGAGGTTGGGGAAAAAAAGAAAAGAAAAAGTTGTACTTCTTTGCTTGGCTTAATGTAAACCTCTGTCACATTTTAATGACGTTAAAGGATAAGGGCATTACTTCAGAATTCCTGGGCAACTGTCCACTGGATTCAGTATGTGGGGAACCACTGCTCTGGCCTATGGGGATGTCCTATACAAATTCAAACAGTTTCCTCTTTGATCAGCAACAGCTGATCAATACCTCCGATCTTTTCTCTTTGGTCTTGAAGTACAGTGTTGAGATTTTGATCTCCGTGATTCTCACAAATGAGGTGACCGAGAAGAACCCAGACACAGTAGTTAGTTCTCGCCTCACCTCAGCCACTGCAGGCTGGCCACCAAAGAGGCAGAAATAGAGCCCAGATGCAGGGAGCGGCATGTTGGCGGTTGAGCCTGCTGTTCCAAAATGAGCAAGCAGGCAATGTGACCGTCCTTGAGTTTTATTTTTATTTTTCAAATCTGCTTTGAAGAATGTTGTGAGTCCCAAAGGAGCCCTTTTATGTCATTTTCCCCCCTTTTTCTTTAGAATTTCCTCTAAAACCCATTAGGGAAATTTAACATATTCCAGATTTAGCACTTTAATGGGCTCTTGTTCCTGCCTTAATTTTTCCCCATTTTTAATTAGCTATCTCTGGGATTACAAAGTTGCAAATTCAATAGCAAAATTTCTGGAAAGTTGTCTGAATTTATGCTGAGTTTGTTACGTTATATTGTGTACCGTGCCTGACTCAGCAGGTGAGCTATCTGTCCCGGAGATTAGTTTTGTCCAGCAGATTATATTCGCTATGACGAACCATTTGGGGGCACTGGGCTTCTTTTATAAAACCACAAAGAAGGGCCAGCAGGTGGCATGGTGATTAAGGCACTGGACTCCCACATGACCAATCATGGTTTGAGTCCCAGATCTGGAAGCTCAAAAATCACACCAGGCACATGTGCATAGGTGCCCAAAATCCCAGGAGGAAAATGAAGAAGGGACTGCAGTGTGGCCATTTTCCCTGGGGATTGGGGGATTTTTCACTTTCCCTTCTGTGTCTCTCTCTGTCTCTCTTCTCTAAGATGAGCATATGTGCCCTATGGAAAAAAAAAAAAAAAGAAAAAACAGAAAAAAAAAAAAAAAAAAAAAAAAAAACAGAAAATTTAAGTTTAAGAGTTTCTTTTTGGCCCCTCTTGGTGATTTTGTCTTTCCAGGAACCTCGGACAAGTCTAACCTGGAGCTGATCACTCTGACGTGTACTTGTGTGGCTGCAACACTCTTCTGGCTGTTATTAACACTCTTCATCCGAAAACTGAAACGGGTAAGAACACAAAGTTCTATGCTTCTTTTTATATAATATTCTAAAATGTCTGGTCTGATGTGTCGAACAGGCACTAAACAAATGTGGGACTGGAACCAGCAGTTAGCATAATGGCTATGTCGCTGGACTCCCATGTAGTTGATCGCGGTTCGAGTCGTGGACCCGGTGGCTTAAACTCACGCCGGGTGCGTGTGCATGAGTGCCCAAGATCCAGAGAGGAGAATGGAGGAGAAGGAACTGTGGCATGGCCATCCCCCAGTGGGTGATTTCTCGCTTCCTGTCTCTCTGTCTCTCTCTGTCTTTCTGGCAAGCGCATGCACCCTGTAGCAAGCTACATAAAAAATCCTTTAAAAAAAAAAAAAAAAACTTTGGCCCAACTTTCTTTACTTCCTCTTTGTACCTATCTCTGACCTGATGAACACTGAAAATAAACCATTCATGTGGAGTATCTGAAAGAAAAGCTAGAACAATGAACAGATGACTACTTCTCAGGCTCAAAGAAATATTTTTGATATGAAAACGTGTAATAGTGTCTTTAAATCCAGCATGGGACCCATGAGGGCTTCATTTTTTTAACCTGACTTGCTGCTAAGAAATGAGAAAGAAAGGTGAACTGAAGATCCACTTCTGGCCTTTCTCACGTAACATTATGGCAATATAAACAAGGGCACAATTGTTCCGTACTCTCTGAGTTGAGTCCTGCCATAAAATTAAGTTTCTTAGACTGTGAGATCCTGGTTCTAGTTCAAAACATCATCTCTCTGTGACTAGGTCTGCAATTCAACCTGCTTCTCTGGAATTCACTGGGAAAAGCACGCTCATTCATTCGTGAATGTTCCAAATATCTCCTGCCAATATTGCCTGTTCAGTGCAGCAGACCAGGCACTGCTGAGGCCCTCTGATGGCGATGGAGACCAAATGCTGGAGTGTGCAGCCTGGAGAGGAGACAAACTCGCATCCACCACACACACAGATGTCAAACTGCACCTCTGAGTTAGCTGAAAGAGGGCTGGGTGGTCGGACAAAGAAGGAAGGAAAGGGCCAGGCCCATAGCCTAGTAACTGGCTATGGGAGCTGGATCCCACATGGCTAACTACAGATTGAACCTCAGCCCCAGCAGTTTCCGAAACACACCGGGCACATGTGTGTGCATGCCCCAAATCCCAAAAGAAAATGGGAGAAGGGTGATTTCTCTCTCTCTCTCTCTCTCTCTCTCTCTCTCTCTCTTTCTGTCTCTCTCTGGCTAGCACATGTACCCACTGGCAACTTAAAAAAAAAAGTGGAGAGATGGAGGGAAAAGTATTATAGGCAGAAAACACAGCATATCTGAGGCTGTGGTAGGGGATGGCAAATACAGCGAAAAACTAAGACTGCCAGATGGCCAGTAGGGCTGCAAGGGTGAAAACAAGGGGAGACAAGAAGTTTTGTAAGGCTACAAGGACAGGCAGGACTGGGAGGCCCTGGTAAGGAATTTAACCTGTATTCTAAAAGCCTTGGGAAGCCTTGGGGAGAAGAGAGAAGTGGAGGTGGAGGATGGTGTGACCAATACATGTTTCAAAAGATTATTGTGGCTGCTGTGTGGAGAATGGACCAGAGGAGCAAGAGTGAACAGACGGACACGGCCTGGGAGATTTCACGCGGTCCAAGTAAGAAAGGGTGGGGCTCTGAGCAAGTAAACCACAGAGCTGAGATACTTCGGAGGTAAAATCGGCCAGACCTGAGAAGTGACAAGGTCTCTTCAATTTCTAGAAACTGGCCCTTCTGAGTGTGCCAGGTCTTGTGGGACGTTCCTCATGCAGGTTCCCAGTCAATCCTTCCCAAAATGGAAAGAGGTAAAAATATTATTATTCCCATTTCATGGAGAGCAAAATTGAGGCTCGAGGAGCTAACGTAAGTGGTCCAGAGTCAGTAGAGCTGGAGCTTAGTCTCGAACGCAGTTTGTTTGACCTCAGACTTATTCAGGGTGTGTGCTTTTCAGGACTGGTAGGTGAGGACAGGCTAGCAGCCATCTTGGGTGGTACATGCGAACATCAGGCCATTGCTGTACAGAGAGACTGGTTTTGAGACATGACAACCAAGGCCACTGCTTTAGAAGAAAACAGAGGTGACACGGGTTTCAAAAGGGGAGCTACATCATAGAGGAAAATACATCTAACAGAAAAACTTGCGAAATCTGTAGGAAGGTACAAGGGCCGTAGGAATTCAAAGGAGGAGAGGGGCCAAAACTTCAGAGAAACCAGAGCTTGAGACAGACTTTGAATGTTGTGGCTGGGAGGAAAGAAACAGAAAAGCACAGCCTGTCCTACCCCTTCCTATTCCTCAGACTGGGGAAATGTCTAGTTACCAAGCATACAGGAGATAAATAAAACCAGAAAGGTTCGTTGGGACTACATTGAAGAGGCCCCTTCTGTTTCTGAAAGTCCGAAATGTTGATGTCAATAGAAGGGATCAGAGCAAGAGATTATTATCTCACAAATATGCCCACCAAATTTGAAAAGGGATTGGTCGTGGGAGGCAAAGAGGAACAAGGCATCAAAAAGTATTTTCAGAGGCCAGCAAGTGGTATAGTGGTTAAGGTGCTGAACTCCCTCATGGCTGACCTTGGTTCAAGTTCTGGATCCAGAGGCTTGAAACTCATGTCAGGCACTTGTGCGTGCATGGTGTGTGTGCATGCACGCCCAAAATCCCAGGAAGAGAATAGAGGAGAAGGGATTGCGGTTTGGCCATTGTTCCGAGGGGTGATTTCTCACTTTCTCTCTGTCTCTCCAGCAAGTGCATATGCCCTATAGCAAAAACACTCTCAAAATATATATATTTTTTCAGGCCAACAGGTGGCATGGAGGTTAAGGCTCTGGATCCCACCTGGCCATCTTTCCAGTTCAATTCCTGGCTTGAAAATCACACCAGGCATGTGTGTGTGTGTGTGTGTGTGTGTGTGTGTGTGTGTGCCCAATATCCCAAGAGGAGAATGGAGGAGAAGGGACTGCAGCATGGCCATCCCTCTGGAGGGGATGATTTCTCACTTTTCCTTTCTCTCTCTGTCTCTTTCTGGTGAGCTCATACACACTATAGCAAAATCTAAAACAAAACAAAACAAAATAAAACAAAACAAAAAAGACGAGGCAGCCAGCAGATGGAGTAGCAGTCGTTGCTGGACTCCCATATGGCTATATGGCTGACTGCGGTTCCAGTCCCAGATCCAGTGGCTTGAAACGCATACCAGGCGCCTGTACATGTGTGCCCAAGATCCCAGGAGAAGAATGGAGGAGAAAGGATTGTAGCATGGCCATCTCCCCTGGGGGTGATTTCTCACTTTCCCTCTTACTGTCTCTGTCTCTCCCATGCGAGTACGTGTGCCCTAAGGCAAAAAACCTCTACCAAGGGAAGAAAAAAAAAAAAAGATTTCAAAAGATTTCATGGGGTTTTCCTAACCACAGTATAAATTCCTTATTGATAAGGATTTCATTTTATCTATGTTAGTATAACACTGCACAGGGCAGCGATAGAATCATAGCTTCACACGGATCATTTCGTTCCGTATCACAACCAGCCCTAGAGATAAGTACCATTACTATCACTAGTTTACAGATAAGGCAAGAGGCTTAGCGAGGTTAAACAGCTTGCCCACGGCCGTGCAGCTTGTCAGAAGCTGAGCTGTGATGCAGACCCAGGCCGCCAGCTGCCATGCCTGGCTCTGAAGCACTTAGCTGTGCAGTCTCTGTGCCAAGCGCCTAGTAGCTGCTCAGTGTTAATGTCAATGGAAAGAATAAATATTTGTCACTAACGTTCTACTATCGTACTCTCCTCAAAGCCCTTACTGAAGCTCTGTCTGGTGTCTCCTCTCATCGGCCGTGCTAAGATTAACCATAAAGTTCCATAGTTGCCACATGGGAGGCCGAATACCATCTCCTGCTTCCTGTCCCATCGACACAGCTGCCATCCCCCGACACATCCTGCATACACCCAAGATGTCCCCTGCCAGCTTTCGCTATCCTCTGCTCTCTGAGGACTGAAGATTGTTTCTCGTGGCCCTGGCTTTTGACAATGACAAGTGTAGTCCTAAGATCTGTCCCAGCGGGCTTCTCCAGGGCACTCCCAGCACAGGGGCAGCAGGCTGTTCTCTTCTACAGCTCACAGACGCACCCCGATGTCTGACAGGCTGGGCCTACGTCCGACACTAAGTGCAGCCCCTGACGAGTGCGCCCCGTATCTTCGTTTCCCATCCCTGGCTGAGGCCAGGCAAACCTTTCTGCCTTGAGCTATCTGTCACACATTTCCGTGATAATTTTTGTGAGAAGGAGAAGGCTTGCAAGTGATGGATGAGGTGAACCGTGATAGCCAGCAACAGGGCGAGTCAGGGCTGAAGAATGTGGTGGGTGTGAAATGGAGTGTATGCGGAGGTCATCTCCTCTACCCCAATTCGGATCCTATGTAGGGGAAAGTACCAGAAGGAAGGGTCCCCAAACTCATTTAAATGAAGTGCATGCCTACTAGGCAAGAGTTATATGGGAAAGCATGCTTCCTTTCTGTCTGCTCCAAGCATCTGCCCACAGAAATGGAGTCATCAATTGTGGAAATTTGCCCGTTAATAGGAAGTACACCTGTTGATATAAATCTAAGACATTAAACGCAAATACAGCTATTCATGATCTGAAATAAAGGGTATTTTCCAGGCTAGATTTGCATTACCAAGATAAAGCAAGCAAGGTCGATGCCTTTCTCTCTTGTCATCCTACCAATGGCCAAAGGAACTCAGATGTGGCTGTGTACAAGCCATGTGCCACATTTGCGTCTTGGCCTTGTTTCTACTTCTCACCGAAGGTAAACCTTATCTCACTAGTGGACCCTATAGTCTTTGGGTAGTGGAAGCAACTGAGAGGTCAGGCCTTCTGAGTTTAAACACTTCATAAGAAATGCACCTTTCAGGGCCAGCAGGTGCCATGGTGGTTGAGGCACTGGACTCTCACATGGCCGACCACAGTTGGAGTCCTGGACCTGGCAACTTGTTTGTTCACTTTCCCTCTCTCTCTCTCTCTCTCTCTGACTCTCTCTGGTGAATGCAAGTGCCCTGTAGCAAATTAAAAAATAATAATGATGATAAATAAGATTAAATAAATAATTCTTTTAAAAAAAAGTACCAGAAGGAAGGGTCCCCAAACTCATTTAAATGAAGTGCATGCCTACTAGGCAAGAGTTATATGGGAAAGCATGCTTCCTTTCTGTCTGCTCCAAGCATCTGCCCACAGAAATGGAGTCATCAATTGTGGAAATTTGCCCGTTAATAGGAAGTACACCTGTTGATATAAATCTAAGACATTAAACGCAAATACAGCTATTCATGATCTGAAATAAAGGGTATTTTCCAGGCTAGATTTGCATTACCAAGATAAAGCAAGCAAGGTCGATGCCTTTCTCTCTTGTCATCCTACCAATGGCCAAAGGAACTCAGATGTGGCTGTGTACAAGCCATGTGCCACATTTGCGTCTTGGCCTTGTTTCTACTTCTCACCGAAGGTAAACCTTATCTCACTAGTGGACCCTATAGTCTTTGGGTAGTGGAAGCAACTGAGAGGTCAGGCCTTCTGAGTTTAAACACTTCATAAGAAATGCACCTTTCAGGGCCAGCAGGTGCCATGGTGGTTGAGGCACTGGACTCTCACATGGCCGACCACAGTTGGAGTCCTGGACCTGGCAACTTGTTTGTTCACTTTCCCTCTCTCTCTCTCTCTCTCTCTGACTCTCTCTGGTGAATGCAAGTGCCCTGTAGCAAATTAAAAAATAATAATGATGATAAATAAGATTAAATAAATAATTCTTTTAAAAAAAGAAAGAAAGAAAGAAAAAGAAATGTGACTTTCAGTGCCCCAGGGATCCTGGGTTTATTTTGCCACTTCTGGCCTTTCTTGCAAATGTAAAACTGCCGCAAGGGACCCCACTGTTGGCCCATCTGTAATGTATATTCTGCTTGTACAGAATGGCTACAGAGAGTTATTTTTAGTCATTGTTTGGAATGACTTCACAAAAATTGTTTGCATTTTTTAGAAAGACCATCATGTATTTAAGCAGAAGATGACTCATTAGGTCCCTGGAGAATTTGAGTGCATTTCACCCCAGATAGGCTGGTGGAGCTAGCACTACAGAAATGTCGTGTGGGGATAATAAGGAGTCCTTCCGTGGACATGGCAGTGTGAGGTGTGGATGCGTGTGCGGAGGGGTGCTTTCTGTACCCAGTCTCATCGTTTCAACCAAATGACCCCAAGTAGAACCAGCTGTTAGTATTATTTTAAATTGGACATCGGGGCTCTTGAAGTTGTTTGCTTCATGGTGACTCTGAGATCTCTTTATTTCCCAGTCTTCTTCTGAAATAAAGACGGACTACCTCTCGATTATAATGGACCCAGATGAAGTTCCCCTGGACGAACAGTGTGAGCGGCTCCCTTACGATGCCAGCAAGTGGGAGTTTGCCCGGGAGAGACTTAAACTGGGTAATGTACATGTTTAAGAGTTTACAAGCCTTTACTGAGCACCTACTGCATACAAAATACGGTGCTCTGAGGGATGCAAAATACATGGGATTCTGCTCACAAAGCAGCAAGGCGGGTAGATGCAGTGGTAAATAATTCGAATGCAGCGCTGAGACAATGGCACAAGGTGATAAGGAAGCACCTGTCTGTTCACGCAACAGTTTTTAAACACTTGCCCTGAGCAGCAGACACTGTTCTAAGCCCTGCGGACACAAAGGAGTTTGGGTCTCTGTCCTCAAAGATCTCCCTCTGGAGAGAGATGCAGAAGTCCCTACTGAAGAGGAAAGAGGAGAGTGCAGGTCCAGTGGGGGCTTGCAAACCTGGTCCATCTAAAGTACCGGAATCATAGAGGAGCTAGGTATGGGCCCTGCAGCTCTAACTCAGGATGGCAGAGAACAATGAAACCAAACATTTGGTGAAGTCTTACATCAAAACTCCTGCCCATTCCTTTTTTTTTTCTTTCCTACATTTTATTGGTTAACAAAATACCTTAATCGATCTAACTGCTTTCTTTTTTCTTGAGAGGTTTCTGCTATAGGGCACATGCGCTCACCAGACAGACAGAGAGAGACAGAGAGACAAGAAAGCAAGAAATCTCCCCCCAGGGGGAATGGCCAGGCCACAACCCTTCCTCCTCTATTCTCCTCTCGGACACACACGCACGCCCACACACCCGGCGTGAGTTTAAGCCATCAGGTTGGGGACTTGAACCGCAGTAGACTACATGGGAGACCAGCGACATGGCCATTACGCCAACTGCTGGTCCCGATTTAAGTACTTTCAATAGAGTGGGAGGAAGGTGGGATATGGCAAAAGGTGAGATATGGGAAACTGCACCTTGTATGCTGTGATGATGTTCAGTGAATGAATGCAAAATAAATAATTTATATATATATATGTAAATATATATATATGTATATATATAGCCTCCTGCACTGCACAAATCTACCAATTGTATACTCAGAATTTCCTGGGTGTCGGAATGCCCGGATGGAGAATGCCCTGGAGGAGGGTCATTGAAGAGCGAGGACTGCTTCTCGCAGACAGTGCAGGTGCTGCAAATAGCAGGCAGACGCGCTGTCCCTCACTTTAGCCTCCCAGACCCCCAACTCAGGTTCTCAGTGCAAATCACTCTCCTCACTCTGGCCCACCGAGAGTGCTCCTACCTGAAATGTCCGAATCTTGGCTTCCGAAAGTTTTCTGCTCTCTCCTGTGTACGTAATTCATATTGGAACTCGGAAAACAAATTGTGGATCCAGTGTTCCTGGTGCTTGTCACTCTCGTGTGGAGAGCCTGTTGTTCCACATCAGCGGCTCGCCCTTCGCCCCACGTGTAAACCCTATTCCTGGAGTAGGGTGAGGGGTCAGAGGGGGAAAATGGCTTTTCTTGGTATTCACTTGGGGCTTGAAATGATTCTGCTTATGCTGAGAAGAACTGGTCCCAGGAGTCTATTCTGTTTGATTTGGGGAAGAAATCAGTTAAAAGCAGGAGAGACAGGAGAAAGCCCGCCATGGCTGCTGATGGGGGAAAATCAACCGAATTTACAATAGTTAAGGGCAGGTGGCACACTGGATGAGTTCCTTGTGCGAGTCCACGTTAGATGGCAGCTAGCCCAAACCCTGTCAGCTCGTCGGTGACCTTGGCAGGGCGCATGGGATCGTTTTCCCACAACCACGAGCCATGCTCAGGCCACATAGCTTTCCAGACTTCTGAGTCACCGTCAAACATGCTTCTTCCAGGATAGGACACGTGAACTTTCCCTCCCCTCTCCTCATCCCTTCCTATCACCATGATCCATGTCACCTTGGGCAAATTGCTAATCCCTCCACCAGAATTCCCCTGGGGCTCTGTGGGTTTACATAATCCCATTTCAGGAGATTCTCCTTGCTGAGTATCTATAGCTCTTTCCGGAATTGCCCCATGCTAAGACTTGGCTGTTGTCCAAATGATAGAATACGTGTCTTTGATGAGTGAGAGAAAGTGTGTCGAGTCTGCTAACTTAGTCTTTCAGTGCGGAGTGCGGCTACGAGGCCTGGAGAAATGCCCCTGGATTAACTAACTAACTAACTAACATGGGAGCAAGGAGGACCAAGAGGTATTGGTTTTTAAGCCAGATAAATGTCAGAAAGGAATCTGAAGTAACATTGGGCAAGTGAAAGGAAACGGTGTGTCCAGCCCATGGCCAGAGGAAGCTGGTGTGACAGGCAGCATCGGCTGGGCTGTCAGTGTGGAGCGGGTGTCTGGTCCCCACTCTGCTGGTTCCTTTCAGCAGCTCTGGTGAAGGAAGAGGGAATCTGTACCTGGCAGACAGATGCAGTTGCAGCTTGGGTCAAAGGTGTTGCTACCATCCAAATGTCTGACACAAAAGAAATATCGCCTCCCTTTTTTTTTTCATGATTCCTCACTAGCCCTGGGAGATGACTCAACTCCTATAAATGTATTACAGAAGTTAGGATGATGTCTAGCATTGCATCTATTTATTGGAAAATAATTGGAAGTCAGATTGCTAATGTGGGAAACAACCCAGGGAGTCTGGAATCTGGCAAGCGAAAAGTGCCTAGACCAACCAGTGCTGCATCTTCTAAGGCCAGTCCCGAAGGCCAAAGGGGCCCTGCTTAGGCTGCCGTGCACTCTCCCCAGGGTGTGCAGGCGTCCGGCCAGCCCAAGACATTCTCGGAGATTGCATTGTATGGTGATGACCTAGCACATTTCCAAGCTAGTTAGTGGCATTCCAGGCAACACCAAAAGGAATTTTAAGGGGAAAGAAGGATCAGGCAAGGTCAAATCCAGTGCGAGTGGGTTCCGTGAAACTGGAACTGCGGGTCTGAGGAAGGATTCCAACACTTGAGATGATTAAAGAGCCCATAATAGCTTCGTGCTATTTTATGAGGCAGCAGTCGGCTTCCAACAGGATAAACAAAAAGGGCTGAAGGAAGCCAAGTGAGAACCAGTTCATTCTTCCTGGTAGAAGTAAAGTCCTCAAACACTTGTTACAACCGAGTGTGTTGTGACGGCTGAGAAGGGCATGCATGGGGGGCTGCCGTTGAGGCTAGAGAAAGGATTGCACCTGCAGGATTCCACAAGCAAGAGTCTCAGGAGTATGTGCAGAGATGATCTTGATGTTTTTCAGGCTCAGAACACTTTTCATGTTGGATGGTAGAAAGCGCTGTGAAAGGAAAACACTGTTCTCTTTCTCTCTTTTTTCTTTTTTCTTTTTTTCAAAGATTTTTGCCATAGGACATGTGTACTTGCTGGAGAAAGACAGAGACACAGAAAAAGAGGGAAAGTGAGAAGTCACACCCAGGGAGGATGGCCACACTGCAATCCCTTCTCCTCCATCCTTGTCTTGGCATTTCGGGCATGCACCCACATGCACTTGGTGTGTGTTTTTCAAGCTGTCAGGTCTGGGACTCAAACTCTGGAGTTGGCCATGTGGGATCCAGTGCCTTAACCACCATACCACTGGCTGGCCCTTTTCCTTTTTTTCAAGGTAAAAATCCTTAAGCTTATTTGCTTCACGATGGGGGGTGGGGTACCTTTGACAGGGTCTTGCCCTGCTACGGTCTTCCCGGTCTCCCAGTCGGTCAGGATCACAGGTAGACATGGGCATGTCCAGCATGTTCAAGTCCACCCAGGATCTGCACCTGGGTGTCTCATGTGGCTTCACTATTATGTAGCGGTACCCTACTGCCTACACCACTGCAGCTGGAACAAACATTGTGTTTTTTTTTATCCTAAATAAAAGAAATAAACCAAAGTGTACCAGGCTTTGCCAGTCTGGAGGAGACATCTGTTAGCACTTTTCCCACACGTGATTTCCGCCTGCAGTACTTTCAGGGTTCATTAGACTCTTCTAGTTTAACTTGAGACTCCCCATTGTCATCTACTTCTTGGGCGATTTTATATGGAGAAGGAAGAAGAGACTCTGTCTCTGCTCGTGTGGTATGCTCTAGAAGGAATGACATTTAGTAGTCAGTCCAGGTACATTTCTGAAGAAGAAAAACAGCAGTCTCACCAGTGTTCCCTCCTGACACACAGCTCGTCCCCATAAGATTTAGGCAGAGAGACAGTCACACAGAGGCACTTATAATTAGGCTGTAATTGAAACTTTCCCACGTCCTCTCTGGATACCTGGGGTGGTAGGCAGGAGAAGCTTTTAAGCAGAGGCAAAATGAAGACATTTTTGACCCTGAGTAATTGCACCTTGAAGTATAAATGTTCTTGACCCTGTGCGGTCGTGTGCACTGGTGGGCATTGCTACTTGGCAGGCTGAGGCCACACATGAGGCCCAGGCTTGAGTTCCAGCCCACTCTAAAAGCCAGGCATGCGCCTATAGCCCAAACTACTCAAGAAGCTGAGGTAGGATGATCGGGGCACAGCAGGAACCTGTCTTCAAGGAAAAAAAAAGTATAAATGTTCTAATATGGTGAGGAAGCAGGAAATCTTCATTACAAACTTTACAAAAAAGGTTTTAAAAAAAAAAAAGTCCTTTGGGGGAAGGGATTGGAGTGCAAGGAAGGAAGGGAGGAAGGAAGGTTAATTAACTGAAGGCTTATCAGGACAGTCTGAGAAAGAGGTTGGCTGGAAAGGAGGGGTAACTCTCTAACTGCCAGGATTTCCTTTTGACCAGTGGCATTTTGTTGTTGTTTATTTTTTTTCCTCCCAGAAGAACCAAAAAAAATAAATAAAAAATAAAATAGAATGCCTTCTTTGGCTTACTCTTCTTTGGGCGTGCCATACTGGAGATGCACTGTTTCTCTAGATGCTATTTAGCTGTTTTCTAATCGTGCAAAAGGAAGTCCCCTGTAACAAAGATAGCTGGAGTAGATAGGGCGTCCTCCCTACATGGCATCAGTCTTAAGGTCACCACCCCACAGGCCTCTCTAGCTACCTAGGGCTATAGGGTACCTGCTTTAGGTGTCCCACGAATTCCCAAATGCTACCCTCCATTCTACCCTGACATAAAGGGGCCCTTACAGGGGCCAGGCGTGGGGTGAGGTACTAGAAAGACTCCAACGTAGTCCTTGCCCGTGACCCAAGTGGCTCATTCAAAGGTGGGGACGGAAATGTGGTAGCAGCCATTATAACACAACATAGCTGGTACAGGCTTTGTTACTGCGGTAGCGTTTAGCAACCACCTCTCTAGAATGAAACAAAGTGCCACCAGCCGTTGATGAGCTCATGCACTGAACCATGAGGATATGCAGTCATTGTATAGAGACACATTAGAAAGGCCGGGAATATTTTGCCTGGGGAAAAAAGTCTGAGAAATGACTTAATGATTATTTTTTAAGTTATGAAACATTACTGTGACATAACTGCAGAAACCATCATTCTCTATTCCTCCATTTTTGCTGAAAACAGATCAGAAGAAATGACCTTGAGTGGCAAGGAAAAGGGGCTTAGGTGAAACACAGGGATGATGTCTTGGTAACAATGTAACTAAGCAATGAATGAAAACATCCAGGATTTAGAAGCATCTCTCATCTGAAAGACTCTATGAAAAGAAAACCAGGAGACCAGCAGTTGCCCTAAGGGCTAAATCAACCGTGGTTCGAGTCCCAAACCCAGTGGCTTAAACTCACATTGGGTGCATGTGTGTGCGTGCCTAAGATCCTGAGAGGAGAATGAAGGAGAAGAGATTGTGGCGTGGCCAACGACACCCCCCCGGGGGGGGGGGGGTTTCTCACTTTCCACCTTTCTCGAGAGCGCAG